CTTTTTTCTCTCTCTAGGCCTCATTTTCTTGGATCTGAACTTTTGTGTTTTTTTTTAATTCCAGATGTGTTCTAAGGGTCCAAATGACAAAGAGAAAAGAACAGAAGTGAGGGTGTGAGGCAGTCCAGTTTTGGGACACAAGATGAGGAAGAACAAATTCAGTCTTGCAAAAACCAAATTTGTCATTTATTAAACAAATAGTTACTGACCATCTTCTGTACACCAACCACCAGTGTTTTAGATACTTGAGACACACCTGTTTATTAAAATAACCACAACAAAAAAAACAAAAACAGGTCCCTCTCAGTGCTCTGTCTCTGTCTCTCTTATTGTCCTTCTCGCCCTCTGCCTCTGAGAGGAGACCATGCTCTATGGAGTGTTATCTCTTTTCTAATAAACTTTCCTTTTGACTCAAAAAAAAAACAAAAAAACAAAAACAGATAAACTCTTCCCTTATTAAAGTAACATTTTAGTTTACTATTTGTAAACTAAATTATTAGTAATATAAGTTGTAAATTATAAGTTGTATAGTATGTTGGAAGGTGATTAAGTACTATAGATAAAAGAATAGGGCAGGGTAAAGCGGGGCAGGAGTGGGGATAGGAAGTGGGTTATAGTTTTATGTAGAGTGATCAGGGTAGACTTCACTGAGATGAAGTCTGAGCAAGGCCTTGAAGGAGGGAGTTAGTCATTCAAATATCTGGGACAAGAGAGACTATCTGAGGAAAAGGCACTAAGGTGGAGGCATGCCAGAATGTTTCAGTATCAGCAAGGAAACCAGTGTAATAAAACTCAGTGAGAAAGGGGCAGAAAAGAGGAACAGGAGATCAGAAACACGTCAAAGGCAAGATCATGAAGATTTTGTAGGCCATGGTGAGGACTTTTGCTTTTGTGAGTGAAATTAATTTACCTCCATGTTAATTTCCTTTGTTATCCAGGAGCCTTACTCTTCTTTTCTTGTTTCAACCATCCCTACCCACCATAGGCAATAAATGGAAGTAAGCCTATGTGTGAGTCAGTACAGTAAAGTCAGTCACAATTAGCAGCATCCCTATGTCCTTTCCCTGGTCAGCCAGTGGTGGGGTCAGTGAACATGCCAAAGAAATCAACAGTGGGTCATGAACTTAAGGAGCTGAGGTAGTATGTGAGGTCTAGGTGCCTCTATCCACGTATCCATGTGGAAATTTTACCTGCATTACCAACTTTAAAAAATATGAGCTTACTTCTTAAGGAAACTGTTGAGATATTTAGTTATAACTTTATTATTTTGTTTGAAGAATTCAAATATCAAATAACAAACTTTAAGTACAAAACAATTTCCTAACAAAATATAGTAAATGACTATTCAAAAATGATGGATAATGTAGCATTTTAAACAATATTTTAGAAAATTCAAGATATAGGTATACATGAATTAGACTAAAATTATATTAAAGCTAATTCGATTGTTCTTTAATAACATAATATATTTCAAGATCTACAGTGCTTCAAACATCACCATGAACCAAAACAATTACTTTTGGGAATAAATCACCATTTTCTGCTTGTTTGCATCATTTATTATATAAACATTGATTAAGGACCTATTGTACAGTAGCAAACAAACATCCACAGTCTCAGCCCTCACAAACCTTAGAGCCTAGCAAGAAAACAGGCTTTGGAGAGGTAATTACGCATGATGACTGTTGTAAAGTATAGGCATCCACAAAAGGAGAGAGCAGGCAACTGTGCCTAGTCTAGAAGTCAAGAAATACCATACTACAAACATATGGCAACTGTATCAGCAGTTCTTAGAAACATCAAAAAACCTTTTCCCATCCCTTATGAGCCAAAGTGAAAATCTCAAATATACCTTTTCAAGGAAAATGGTCCCTAATCCTCTATTACATGGGTAGTATCTTATGTTTTCCCCCACTAATCTTGTAACGATTTCAGTTTTAAAAAATCTACCACATTATTACTATTACACATTACTCTTAAAGCTAGCTCCCAAGGATGTTAGTTTTTACCTTAAAAGTTTTCCATTTTTTAAAAAAAGGATATTAGGTTCAAACAAAAAAGTCCTTCAAACATGAAAATCATTTTGGAAAATTGCAATCACGCTGAGACCGGCACAAATTAAGCCCCTCTGGATTTCTATTTTTACTTTGGCTAATCTTGCAAATAGTTAATTTTTAAGATCATTAAGCCATATACTTGAAAACATGGCTTTAATTAAATATTTGAGGTAATTAAAGCCTTAATGAATAAACATAATATTAGCATACAAATAAAAATCACAGCATGAATTATTACAATAACAAATATTAAATTTGTACATTCATAATACAATGGGCTTAAAAGGTTAACATTTACCTAACAGAATTTTATGCAATGCTTTAACTAATGAAGATGTACAATCTAACACATGTTAAATTGTACATGCAATTATAGCTTTTTAAAATATGGTATTATCACTGATTGGAAAGTTTGGCTGTGGTGCATGACAACACTAAAATGAAAGATTATGTCTTTTAATCTTATAATTATTGATCAAATACATTAGCCCTTCAATAAAAAATATATATATACAGTGTTCTTAGGTTTATAGCTGACAGTAGTAATAAAATCAATCATTTAATCATCTGGTCAGACAGTAATTCAATAAAAGTGCATTATGCCTTAGAAATTACAGACACAAAAATTCTTGAGATGTGTTTTCTACCCCAGAGAGCTTGTCTTCTAATGAATGACTGAAACATAAACAAATATCAGTACATTGTGACACACTGACAGTTTAAAATGCTCACCTATATACACAAGATACTGAAGGAAAAAAGAGCAAGCGGACTTTATCCAGCATAGAGACACAAAAGGAGGTCAGGGAAGCTTTTTACACAAGGGGATGTCTCAGCTAAGCACTTAAAGTGGTGAAGTCTGACAACCAAGAGGAAGGCGAAAACAGAAGGAGGAAGAGATTCCAGACCGAGAACTCTGACTAAAAAGATACCACACCAGGGAGGTGAGAACTGGCAAGGTGTTGAATTGCTAAACCCAGGGGTTAAGAGCACACTTCAGCAGAGCAAGCTTAAACAAAAGGAGAATGTGCTCGTTAGGCTCATACAAAATCACAAGTCAATACAACTATGTATTGAGTCTACTGGACATACTTCTACTTAAGGAACCAGTGTCATCAAATAGTTAACAGTGTAACCTTTCCAGAAGCTGAAAGTGACCACTTCACTCTTTTTAAAGTTATCTCAGAATCTTTAATTATATATCAAACTAGAAAGGCTGAGATGAAAAGAACTCGTATTGTAAGATGTACAGTATATTTGTACTAGTAATAACATAATAAGAAGTGTGAGCACTCTGATATACAGCCACAAACACAGTGTTAGAACTGTGTTCAAGTCCCAGATTTGCCATTTCCAAGTTACATGACCTGGGACACATTATTTAATTTCTCAGAAGTTCATCAGTAAAATGGCATAATAACAATATCCATCTCATAGGGATGTGGTGAAATTAAATGAGAATGCAAGTAAGGAGCACAATGTCTGTGGTACACAGTAAATGCTTAATCAACAGCTATTCTTATTACAGCATAAAATTCAAGACAGGGAGTCCATGAGATGCAACCAGAGAGATGGGCAGGGACCAGATAATGGAGGAGGATTAATGGGTTCAGTTCTGCACATGTTGACAGTGGTGCTTGACTAGCATTGAAGTCTGAAGCTTGAGGAGAGATATCGACTGAAATTATGAGATACATACGTGCTAGTTAAAACTATGAGAACAGATGAAAGAGCTCAGAGAGAACACAGAAGGGAGAGGAGCTGGGCACAGTGGAGCATGGGACCCTGAGAACCTTTGAAGAAACCCTTAAAATTATGGTCAGAAAGAAATGAGACCAAAAAAAAT